CAATTTGAAATAGGGTTGTTAATGCCGGATTTTTTGCTAACTCATTTGGTAAGGCAGTAAGCCCTTGGAGGGCTTTTGTTATGCTTCCATCGGGAGCAGTGTTGTTTGGGATAAAGGTGCAACACTGAGTTTTGATCATAACACAAACACCACGTTTTTCTGCTAATATCATATCTAAAGCTATCCTGTTCTCCCAGGCCATTTGACTAGCAGATCTTAATCGTTCAGCTATTCCTTTAACAGCATCTTTGTATCAGTAGATGATACAAATCGCTGCTGGCTGTAATAATTGTAGTTTATCAAATCTACATTTTTTATTAATTGTGCCCACCAAAACAACATTGACTCAAATCCTGCAGTATTTGATTTCTGGCTTTAAATTTTTCTGGTACTCTTCAAGGAACTCCAATGGCATCTAAATAGATATGGGAATTAAAAGACCCATAAGGGGCTGCTTCTTTTGAGGCTTCTCTTATTTGCCTATGTTGTATTTTCTCTATTTCTGGTTGATGAGATGGCAGGGTAAAAGGGATATCCAGTTGAACTAGAGCACACGTACTGCTCCAATTATTTGGCAGCGTGACCAGTAAAGTCCTCCACAATACCACCATACATCCGCTTGGGGATGAATAAGGGCAGACTGATGGGTCAGCTGTTGGAAGTGCCTGACTTCCCTGCATCCTGTTTAGTTTCCAAGGAACACTAAGTTCTCCCCTTGTCATGAGATACGTGAGGCAAACTTTGCTTTGGGTGATGGAGTCTGTATGGCCCTCAGGGGCTGACCCACAGGATGCTGAACTTCAGAAAATAGCAAAGAAAGAGCTTAGCACAATTCATTATCCCAGGTGGTGGAATCTTGAAAAAGAGCTACCATGCACTCCATGTGTGCTTGATTCGAGGACCATTCTAGTGGAAAGGGAACAATCTGGCCCTCTGGTCTACTGTGTGCACAAGTGTAACAGTTGCTTTTATTTAAAACGTGGATGGAATATTTAATCCATTCGAGCCAGGCATTTGCCTCTTGGTATCCTGTTTTCGTAGCTATTGTCTGTCTTAGGTCTTTTATTTCCACTATTCAAATAGAGGCTGTTTGGTATTCCCATTGAGAGTTCTCTGGGCACAGGTTGGGGCCTGAAATATCAATTGGGAAGTCATCAGATATAAATGGAATGTAAAGCAAAGTGCTTTGAGCTACTTGGAAGAAAGTCACTTAAGTTAATTTTTATGCCCGTTATTCTTATTGTGGCAATTACATTGCCCTTGTCTAAGGATACTCTGGCTAAGCCTGGGCCTGTATTTGATTTGTTTTTAAGTGTCTAGCCCAGAGGTATGCTCCTAAATAACAATGACCCAGTAAATATGTGATGACTACATACATGGGCAGTGTTGCAGAGAGGAATCCGTGGAATTTTCAAATAGCAATCAAGAAACCTGGGACTCAATCATGCCTCTACTCCTTCCTGGGTCCATCAGCATGGAAGCTATTTAGTTTCTCTGAGCTTCAGTTTTCTTCTCTGTAAAATGGGGATAAACACCTATTTCACAGGGCAATGAGATGATTGCTAAAGTGTTTTTGAAGCCCCAAGTCCTGGTGTAATTGTTTTGTTTTTATTGTCCCCTTTTGTTTCTAGAGCTGCATTGCCCAATACAATAGCCACTAGCCACATGTGGAAATTTAAATCTACGTTTAACATAATTAAAACAAAATAAAAATTTTAAATTAGTTCCTCAGTATCATTGTCCACTGTGTCCACTGTGTCCAGTGGCCGTATGTGACTACTGGCTATCAGGCAGCACGGAATAGTACAATTCCACCCCACAGAAAGTTTTATTGGAGAGTTCTTCACTAGTGCTTCACTGAAGGAATGGGGATAGACAGGTGAGGCTCCTGACTTCAGGAACCATTTCACAAACATATCCTGTGGTCACCAGAAGCCCCATGCAGGAGAGGTGGCTGGCCCAAGGGTGGAGTGGCCCTCTTGTGTTGTAGATAATACATTATGTCCCGGGGAACTAGGGACTGAGGAACCCAGGGGAATGGAGCAGGGCTAAGGACATACCACCACAGCTGCAGGGACTTCTGGTCAGGGAGTAGCATGGATATGCTTTACAGGCCCTGTGCTCCCTGCAGGTGGAGGTCTCTCCCAGGACTGGCCAGTGGGATGGTCATGGGTGGGGCAGCTGCAAGAGTAGAACTGACAAACAAGGGGATGCTTCTGCTGGATCTGCCTCTTGGTCCTTCTGTCTGTCTGTTTGCTTATGATCTGTAGATAACCCCCTTCCTGTGTTGCGTAAACATCACACAGGATGTGGTTACCCGTTGAAAGTTACTGGCCAGGTGTTTCTCTTCCCTCAGGAGCTCTTGGATACCTCTCTGGCCTCTTTCCTCAGACCTGGGACCCTCAAGGCCAGGGATTAAGCCACCCCACTCAGAGCAGGGGCTTTTGCTGCCCTGCTGCACCAGGACTCACAAGGTTGTGATCTATCTTCTCCTTCGGAAATGTTCATATTATGATCCTGGGGAGTCCTGTTAACCTATTCAAAACTTGCCTGAAATGCAATGTGAACTTGGGGAGGTCACTTTAGATTTCTGGTACTTCAGAGTTTCTGTCTGTGATATGGGGATGATAATATTCCTAGCCCAGCCTTCTGCTTTGCATTGTTTAGGGCAGGGAGTAGCATGGATCTGCTTTACATGCTGTGAAGTGTCATGCAGAGTGGGTACTTTTCTGCTGGCAGCTCTATGGGGAAGGTAGGCAAAGATGGTTTCCCTGTGTTCAAATCATAGCCTATGTAACTGGCAAAGCCAAATCTTGAGACCCTGTGCTAGTTTGGAAGACTCCACAGAGTGCTTTCACTTGGGTAAGCTGAGGCACAGAGTAGGGGCAAACTTGCCCAGGGTCATGGTCTGAAATTGGATCCAGCTCTCCTAATTCCTGAGATGAAAGCTCCTTAAGATCTTAGAGTCCTCTCCTGTCTGAGATCTAACTCTGTGTCTGAACATTGCCACTTGGCAGCTGTGTGATCCTGGACAAATTATTGAGCCTCTCTGAGCCTCAGTGTCCACTATGATTGCCACCTAAGTGAAATGGTGGCAGTCATAGTACCCAGGACTGGCTACATAATTTATGAAAACCAGTGCAAATGAAAACGCAGGGTTCCTTTTCTCTCTCCGCTGTCTCTCTCAACCTGTCATGCTGTTGTATTCCCTTAGGCCTGGTGATACAAGGTGAGTGTAGAGCCTCACATGAGACAGGTAAGAGGCCTGCTTCATGACTTGGCATGCAAATTCTCTTCCTCTCCCAGTGCCGGCACCCAGGACCCTGCCTGGGATGGAGTTGTGGTGGTGGTAGGGGTGTGGGATGTGTAGGGGGAACAGAGCTGAGAACCCATGTCAGGGAGGAGAAGGTGGTGAGGTGAAGGGAGGCGGGACCAAGTGTGAGCCAAGGCTCTGAATACCCAGTGAGTGCTCCACTGCTCCACCCAACTTTACTTATAAGACACAAATTAAAAGATGTAATGATGAAGAATTTCAAGGTGGTGACCACAGAGCATTAAACCCCAAGTACAGGACACCCTTCTGAGTGGGGGACCCTGTGCAGCTGCTCTGGTCATATATCCATGAAAGTAACCCTAGAGTACTTAACTCACAGAGTATCTGCACAGAATTGACTAAAAATTAGTAAATGGGATTTATTATAGATTTATTGAATGTGATTTTTCAGATAACCCAGTTGTGGGAAAACATCTTCATTTACTTAAGGGAAAGCACTGCTTCCACTTGGTCACAAGGGCCCTTTTTGACATGATCTTTTTTGATACTTTGCTGTGGCTGAGGTTGGGGGAAGGAACAGGTATGAACATTTAAACATATTTAGGTATCGCACATTTTTGTGTTACTCTTCAATGCAGTAAGTCACTCATCACTAGGCAAGCATCTTATTCTTCCCCTAACCAAGAAGGAAACTGTTGCTCAGAGATTGAAACAGGCTTGCCCAGGGACCCACAGTATGTCAGTGGCAGATGCTGGGGCTTGAATCTGGATCTCTCTGCCTCTGAAGCCTGAGTTCTGCACCCAGTGCCCAGTGCCATGCTGGCAGAGCCCGCCTTTGTCAGCAGCTCTTCTGAAAGGGACCACCAGCTGAAGCCTCTCAGCTCTCCTGGGATGGCCTCATCTACTTCTCCCAGCCCCTTCCCATTCTTTCTGCTGCTATGCCGGCAGCTGCATCCTGTGCCCTGATGAGGGGCCTAAGGACAATGGGAAGGGGAAGGATTGGATGGTAGGAAAGGGGCCAAGCACGAAGCTCAACAATGGCTTCTCTGCCGGTGGGTCCCAAACAGCCGGAAACAGCAATAGGTTCACAGCATTATTGTGGGCAGGGGTGAGGGCTGCCCCTGCTGAGATTTTCTTTCTATTCCAGGCACATCCTCCTCTGAATTGCCATAAGGTTTTGTGTCTCTGCCACGTAGTGGCCTCAGTTTCCCCATCTATGTGTTTTTAGCATCCAAAACAGGGCCCAGTGCTGGGGGAGGGATGGGAATCTTCCGGAGCTCTTTGCTTAATTAAAAGAGCAAATGAGATGCTAAAGACTCTAAAGAGTTCCCAGGCATTGCCCTTCATCTTGATGATCCTATTTATCCAGCCATCCATCAAACCTGCCCTGGTGAGCCCCTACTGTGTGTGAGGTCCTGGAGAACACAAGTTATGGTTGGGGTCACCCCTGCAGGAGTAGAACACAAGTAATACTAGGGCTCACCCCTGCAAGAGTTCCTAGGAAGCAAGCAATGCTGTCTCCCTGTACTCCCCATGCTCCGCACCCTGTAAATGTCATAGAAAGGTTTATAGTGGGGGCTGGGGCAGGGGTGGGAGAGGAATAACAAGCTGGGAGTGACTAGCTTTATTTTAGGATGATAATAATAATCCTGGGAGGAAAGAATCTGTACTGTGACCTCCCCCGCTCCTGCCCCTGCCTCCACTCCTACTCCTTCCCCTGGGGCTTGAGCTAGAGTGAAGGCTGCAGCTGGCTATGGAGGGAGCCCAAGGCCAGCACCCCTGGGTTTGAATCTGAGCCTCTTCACTCACTAGCTGTGTGATCTTAGGCCAGTTTTTTTCTCCTCTCTGAGTCTCTTCCTCATCTGTAAATTGGACCCAACAGTGCTGGCCGCCTGGCATTTCCTGTGGTAAGAATTAAGTTTAAATGGTGGGCATTAAAAGGCTTCGGGGAGAATTGCTAAGGCGCTGAGTGAATAGGGAGGCCAGGAATGGAACCTCTGAGGAATCCATCGGAACTAGAAAACCTAAACAGCATAGAGCGGGAGAGAAGGTGATTGGATAGTGAAGGGAGGGCTCTTCTGACTGAGGAAGGGTCTGTGTGCATGTGCATGTGTGTGCCTATGGGCCTGTGCTCCCACTATCAAGGCTGGGTGTTTGTGGATGAAATACACAGTGGGACATGCTGAGTCAGCAAGGCTGTGTGAGAGACCACCCCCCCCAGCCCCCTCCAGAGAAGGCTGCCTGGGCCCTCCTGAGTTCTCTTCTGAGGGAATAACACTGGCTCTGTGTTTCTGAGTCTAACTGGAGCTCCAGCTCCATCTGCTACCAGCCCTTCTCCACCTAAGACTGGCACAAGGGAGACGAAAAGAGAGGCACAGCTTTGTGCTGCCCTCTGCTGGTTTCTTGGACACCGTGCTTCTTAGATGGGGACAATTTCCACACACACGAGTCACCTACATTAATCCCCGTGTTGAGTGGTGGGGACATACAGATAAGGTCCATTTCTGCTGTGTGTGTGTAGGGGTGTGTGTGGGGGGGGAGGGGGGGGAGAGAGAGAGAGAGATCAACAATATGATGTAAGATGCAGAAAAGATAGGAATAGCATGAGGGAAAGTTTTCAAAATGTAATCATGTCATGTCATGTCATGTCATGTCATTCATTCATTCATTCATTCATTCATCCATTCTATGTTTATTGTATTCCAAAACATAATTTTTGTTTTTGGAGCTATAACATGGAACAAAATGTATAAAAATTCCTATCTGCATGGACTCTACCTTCTAATAGAGAGAAACAATTAGTAAGTAAGACAGATAGGTAAATAGATAGTGTTGGATGATGAGTACTATGGAGAAAAATAAAGCAGGAATGGAGGACAGGGAGCATTGTTGGGATGATTGCAACTCTTGTGTAACATTTGAGTAAAAACCCAAAGGAGAGAAACTTTGTCTTCTGAACGTGACGGAGCAACTGGCACTGGACCTTCTGTCCTGCATAAATAACTAGACAACTGGAAAAGTGTATGAAACAACTAATTAGACATCAGACAGCAGTTAGCATGGAACTATGATCCCTGAGAGAAGGAAACAAGCAAAGTGGGCTTGATTCTCACCCTCGCTTTCTGTCTGAAGGCACTTTTGGACAGAGCAGGGAGGGGAAATCCAAGTAGATCATAGGGGTCTTTTTGTGTTGAAGATAGAGATCTTGACATTAAGAGAGTGTGTGGCACTATAATTTGCAGGAAAGAGTACCGGAGAGGAAGAAGATACTCAGAAAAAGAGCTCCAGAAATCTGTATAGGGTTCTCTTTTGAGTTGTTGTCTAAATACTGAGTTGTGCATGCATATGGTAAAACTCCATGAGTGTGGGCAAATAAAAGCTACTGGGGAGCTATAAGCTGAACAATTTTCAGAGTTCAGACAGGGCTGAGAGACATTGTCACACCAGTTGGAGAGCAAAGAGAGCTTCTTGAACACCCAGAACTTTCAGTAGAGGTCTTGGTAGTAGGGCTAAACTAGCCCTAGAGTAAAGTCTACTCTAGCACCATCCTAATAAGGCTTAAACAAAAGCCTTACAAGGAACAAGCTGATGAGCAAGTGAGTTAACTCCTACCAAAACAAAACAAAATTCAACATTATTGAAAGAAAGGAACAAAAATTCAGACCCTCAACAATAGAACATTCACAATGTCCAACATTGAATAAAATTAGGTATATAAAGAAGCAGGAAAATATGACCTATAAACAGGAGAAAAATCACTCTATAGAATAGATTCAGAAATGATAGGAATGGTGGAATTAGCAGACACAGATTTTGAAGCAACATTCTAAATATTCATTAAAAGGTTTAAACAAAAACATGAACATAATGAAGAAAGAAGTAAAAGTTATCAAATGGAACTTCTGGAGTTTAAAAGTATAATATCTGAATTTAAAATGCACCATATAGCTTAACAGTAGATTATATAGTATATAAGCATATACAGTGTATATAGCAGTTATATGCTAAAGAAGAAAAGATCAGTGAACTCAGAGACATAGCAATAGAGAATATCCAAACTATAGCACAGAAAGAAAAAAAGACTTGAAAAAAGAGCCTTAGTATTTGTAGAACATTATCAAATGGCCTAATTTATGTGTAACTGGGTCTTAGAAAGGCTAGGGGCAGAAAACTATTTAAAGAAGTAATTGTCTAAAGTTTCCAAACATGAAGACCAAAAACAATAATCTTGGGAAGCTTAACAAATCTTAAACAGGATAGACACACAGAAGACCATACCAAGGTACACAAGGTACATTTTAATTAATTTACAAAAATACAAATGATAAAAATAAGACATTAAAAGGAGACAGAAGAAGACATATATTATATACAAGGGAATAAAGTAATGATGAACACTCATTTATCATTGACCAAAAGACAATGGGATAACAACTTTAAGGAGCTAAAAGGAAAAAAAAAGTCAAACTAGAATTCTATGTCCAGTGACAATACTCTTCAAAATGAAGGTTAAAATAAAGACATTTTCAGATAAACAAGAGCTGAGAGGATTTATGTCACCAGTTCTGCACTATAATAAATATTAAAGGAAATTCTTCAGGTGATAGTAAAATGAAACCAGCTGAAAAATTTAAACTATACCAAGGAATGAAGAGTACTGGGAATATTAAATCCAGAGCCATTTTTCTGAGTTAAAAATTTAAAAAAATGGATTACTTGGAGCCAGAGTAAGAATGTATTATGGTGTTTATAAAATGTAGAAGGAAAACAACAAAGGATTGTATGGAAAATATGAAAACATATTGTTGTGTTTCTTCAATATGCATGAAGTAGTAGAATATTGTTTGAAGGTAGGTTTCAATAAGTTACAGTTGTATATGGCAAATCCTAGAGAAACTGCCAAAACCAAAAATTAATGACTAATGAGCTAATGCTGGAAATAAAATGAAATAGTAAGAAATATTCAACCCAAAGGATGCCAGGAAAAGTGAACAAAAGACATACCAAAATTTGAGAATAGTGACTAAAATTACGTAGAAGAAAATTTTAGAGTTCTAAATGCTTATATCAGAAGAGAAGAAAGGTTGAAAGATAATTATCAAAATCTCTGCCTTAATACACTAGAAAAAATGAGCAAATTAAACTTAAAATAAATAGAAGGAAGGAAATAATAAAGATATGAGTGGAAATTGAATAGTCAACAAACAATAGAAGCAAACTGAATCAAGGCTGGTTCTCTGAAAAGATCAATAAAATTAGTATGCCTCTAGCTCGACCAGTAAATAAAAAAAAGAGAGAAGTCACAAATGACCAGTATGAGGAATGAAAGAGGGAACATCACTATGTATCTTTCAGACATAAAAAGGTACGACAATATTTTGAAAAAACTTTCTGCCAATAAGTTTGACAACTTAGATGAAATGGACACATTTCTTGAAAACCACAAACTGCCAAAGCACACTCAAGAAAAAAAAAATAGACAATGTGAATAGTCCTGTGTTTATTAAATAAATTAAATTTGTAATTAAAATATTTACCCCCACCAAAAAGAAAATAATAAGGGAAGAGAAAAGCCAGACCTATATAGCTTCACTGGTGAATCCTATTTAACATATGAGAAAGAAATAATGTTAATCTAACACAAACTAGTTGAAAAAACATGGGAGGAGGGAAATTTTCCAGCTAATTTTTGTATTGTCTTGACATTAAAACTAGCCAAAAACATTACAAGGAAAGAAAAGTACAGATTATGTTCTCTCACAAAAAAGATGCAAAAATATTTTTAAAATATTACCAAATTGAAACCTGCAGCATATGAAAAAGATACATTATGACCAAGTGGTGTTCATCTTAGAAATGCATCTGAAACAATGTATCATTGGAAAAATCAGTTTAATTCATGATATTATAGAATAAAAGAGGAAAACAATATGATTATCACAATATATGCAAAAAAGACATGTAACAACATTCATCATCTAGTCTTCACAAAACCCTAAGCAAATTAAGAATAGAAGGGAACTTTTTCAATGTGATAAAAATCATTTAAAAAAGGCTACAGCTTTTTATACTTCATACTGAAAGAGAGAATACTTTTCCTCTTGGATTGTAAACAAGGAAAGGATGTCTGTTCTTACCACTTTTATTCAACATTGTACTGAGGCCTAGTCAGTGCCATAAAAACACATAGCTAGATATAAGACATAAAACTATTTTTATTTATTGATGATATAATCACATAAATAAAACTTTTAGGAAGAGCTACCCAGAGAAGATGGTGCTGTAGGACCAACTCAGGATTGCAGCTCCCAGTAAAAGCGCAGACGGTGAGTGGATGCCGCATTTCCAGATGGATCTTTATTGCCCGCAGACCAGGAGATTCCCAGGTCTAGGAGCCCCACGGTCCACCAGCATGGCTGTTTGGGCCGGCACAGCTGTTTGGGCCAGCACTGCAGTGCAGCAGCACTCTGTACAAAATGTACTGGTTTGGTTGCCCTGTTAAACTGGCAATTGGAGATTTCAGAAGGCAGATTAGCACATTCATCTGATTAAACGGGACAAACAGAAAGCCAGGCCAGGAGATTCCCGAGCAGCAACGTTGTTTCAGCTGGCGCAGTGGGTTGCCACATGGGAAATCACACAGATCCTGGTGCCCTTTCAGCAGGCGACTGGAACACCTGGGAGAGAGTCAACTGTTCAACTTCAAAAAAAAAAAGGGCTCTGAGGCAGGGAGCCAGGTGATCAGGCTCGGTGGGTCCCACCCCCACAAAAACAAACAAAACTGCAATTGGAAACGCTCCGGGTTGAGAGTTTCACGGCAAGCACAGCTGAACCCAGGATGGTGCAGCTCAGTGGGGGAGGGGCGTCTGCCATTACTGAGGCACTCGACTCCTATGGAGGTACTCTG